TTTTTTTTTTTTTTTTTTTTTTTTTTTTTTTTTTTTTTTTCCTTTGATCTTGAGGAGGAAAGGGATTTGGGATTGCTTTGGCTGGTCGGATGATTGGTTTGCTGAATTGCTTGCTCTTTGATGAGGCAAGGGCGAGCTGCTTAGAAACTGTTTCTAATGGCAATTATCTAAAAAACCTGAAAGGATAACATCCATGCTTGCATCAGTTAAAAGCCTGGTTGTATCTGGAAGCAAAGTAGAATAGGTCTGAATTCAAACAGAAAGAACTCATGCAGCATTTTGGGAAGCTGAAGCTGGTGGGACCCAGCTCCCTCTGTGACAACCAGCCAAGGGGTAGTTTTAGGCAAATCCCTGTGCTAAAAACAATGTTGAGTAAGACTGATGTCATGTAAAGCTGAGGAAATAAAAATTGGTTTTCTTGTTGATAGTGGTCACCCAGAATCCTTAGATAGTCAATGGAAAGGGTCACATCTATTTCAGAGGTATTTTGCAATATCTATACTAGACATCTATCTTCAGATGGTAGGATCACCCTCTCTCCAGTGCTCAAAGAGGGAACTCAGACAGTTATGTTGATTGTGATGATTAATTTATAGAGAACTAAAGCAAAGTGCAACTGTTGAAGCAGACAACGTAGTGAAATAGATTTACAAGGAACAAATTGGAGTACAAGCTTTCTTTGGCATGCAAATTGCTATTTATGAGCAAAACAATCTGCATACCCACGGGAGGAGCAGGGCCTAAGGCAAGTTTTGTATAGAACTGTACCCTCATTCCTAGTTCACTTCGGCTGTAATCCACTGGCTGGCACAGGTAGCTGTAGTTGTCCAAGATTGAAGTTACCAGAAACTGAAAAAAAAAAAAAAAAGAAAAGCAATAGAGATCCATTTTCTGTTCAACACCATCTGTTTCAAAAAGATGTGCATATTAATGCTAAGATAATAGGGTCTCAATCTAGTACTCACTGAGACAAAATCCCTGTCATTTATACAGCTGAGCAAATAGCAAAAACCTAAAACAAAGTACTTCAAATCCTTGTTGGAATCTGAAAACGAAAATTTGGTCTGGGCACATTTGTGGCTCTTTAGGTAATCACTGGAGTGCTCAAAAATGCTTCAGTAGGAATAACGAATTCTAGGCTTCAGAATCTCTCTGAAAAGCCACTGTTTTCCTTTGCAAAGATCCCATAATGTTTCATTTTGTCTGGTTGCATTTGCCTATTAATTGGAAAGTCAGAAACTGGACCAAGTAACCAGTATAACAACAACCAAGCACGGACAAGCAGTGGTCGTGCTTGGCCTCCGATCAAGTAGTATTTGCTCAAAAAAGTTGCAATTTGCCTTAGCTAAATGTAACAACTGTAAAACAAATAAACTAAAAGGTCAAATTTATTGACACCAGCATGTTTTTCAGACCTATTCAGTCATGTTACCTTGAAGAGTTTTCAGTGGCCTACATAAACTAGGGAAAGCCTTGTAGAACATACATTCTCTCTGCGTTGAGAACAAGCAGAAAACTATGTCATCAATGCCCTCAGCAGCAGGAAGCTGTGGTGTGCTTGGCACTTTTGGAGAGGACTAAGCCTGGAAAAGCAGTTCTCTTTCTCAGAGATGGGTCCCTCACCAGCCAGACCCAAGATGAAATGAGGACGTTCCACGTCCTCTGTACACTCTGTGTTTGTTGGGGAGATCTCAACTTTCAACTCATTCATTCGTGAACCTTTCAATGTCAATTTTATGAGTGAGAGGGAGATTGAGAAATGAGGTATGCTTTGGAAATAACGCTTTCAACTGGGCAATACTGCTTCTCCTGTGGCAAAACATAGACATGTCCAAGTCAGGTCCCACTCCCTTCACTAGAGTCCATCAGCAAAAGGTGTTGCAACGCCTCTGGTTTTCAAGCACTTGCCAGATGTTTTCCTAGGAGTCAATCCTGCCTCCTTACCTCATAAAACATGTAGCTTGATAATGTCATCATGGCTAGATTGTAGACAATCAGCAGGCCTCGCAACTTCAGTGGTTTCCGCTGTCGCATGTAGAAGGGCCCCAGTGCCACGACAAAGAGGTAGAAGGCAAAGAGAAGCGTGACTGGAAGCGGGGAGTGAACCAGGGGCCACGGGTCTGTCCTTGGATCTGAAAAGCAAAACACATAGCCAAAGGTGGCACATCCCATACGCTGTAGGGCAGATATATTTAATTAATTCCCTTCAGCATGCTCTCTGGCAAGAAGAAAACTGGTATCTCACGTGTCTGTACAAAGCAGTACCACAGTCCTCTTCCTACCCTGGAACTCCACGAACTAGACTCTGCTAAAAGGCTTCAGCACGACATTCGGGTTGGGACCATAGTACTAGAAGACTGCTCTGCTGGGCACCAGCCCTCTGCAGCACAGTAGTGACCAGACCTTTCTTGTCAGGACCTGGAGCCCTCACCACAGGCTGCCAAGACTGTCCCACACGTGGGTGAGACAAGTAGTTCAAGACACACGCAGGAGGGATGCACAGACCAAACCAAACAGTTCCTGGCTCTCCTGGAGTGTAAATCTTTAAAACTAAATAATAAAATTGTTTCAATAACCGGCTTTATTTCCTTCCTGCCCCACAGTGCTTGGGACAGCTGAAATTTTCCACCCCTTCATTTTCATATCTACCCAGAGGATCGACTATACTAAAAGCTTGCCATTTCACCAGAAGACGACAAAACACTTCTCCCTGCTAAAACTGCTCTTCAGTCCTACAGCAAAGGGAAGCTCAAGAAATTTTCTGTCATGCCACCTCCTCCTAATCCTGAAACCTCATCCCTGACACACAGAAAGGCAGGATACATTGTATCTGCAAGAACATCCCAGCTCCCATTCATGCCTTCCTCTCTTATTCCCATTGGGGTCACTGCTCTGCTAAGCTCCCTCAGCATCTCCCTTTGCTTCTGGACCTGCCAGCCCCAAGCCCTAAACCCCTCTCACTGTTCTAGCCCCAGGATCATTGCAGACGTCCTCTATTGAATTTTAGTCCTTCCTTGCTGGTGAGCCCATGGGACTAGGGGTATTTTTTTAAAAAATGCCATCCCTGTCCATATGACTGCTAATCTCCATCCAACCTAAACCTCCCAATTCTTTACTATTCCTGTTATGGGCTGTGTCAAGAATCATAGAATTGTTATGGTTGGATGAGACCTTTAAGATCATCAAGTCCAACTGTTAACTGCCAAGTTACCACAAAACCATGTCCCTCAACACTACATCTACACATCTTTTAAATACCTCCAGGGTTGGTGACTCAACCACTTCCCTGGGCAGCCTGTTCCAATGCTTGGCAACCTTTCAGTGAAGAAATTTTTCCTAATATCCATCCTAAATCTCTCCTGGCACAACTACAGGCCATTTCTTCTTGTCCTATCACCTGCTACTTGGGAAAAGAGACCAGCCCCGACCTCTCTACAACCTCCTTTCAGGGAGTTGGAGAGAGCGATAAGGTCTCCTCTGAGCCTGGTTTTCTCCAGGCTGAACAACCCCAGTTCCCTCAGCTGCTCCTCATAAGGCTTGTTCTCTAGACCCCTCACCAGTTTCGTCACCCTTCTCTGTTCAAAACTGAACACAGTACTCAAGGTGCAGCCTCACCAGTACAGGGGACAATCACTTCCCTGGTCCTCCTGACCACATTATTTCCAATACACACGAGGAGGTCTTTGATATTCCATTTCTGGATTTAACAGTCTGTCAGAAGTCCTGAACCCCAATTTAGACTCTCTTCTGAAATTCAAGCCCCAAAACAGCCGGAGCACTATGCCCTGTGTCCTTCTCCTGTCAAAGCCACCATGCGGTGCTGCCATTCTCCCTTCATGCTATTTTGTGGCTTTTCCTTACATCTGGGTATCCAACAGAGTCCTGTAGGACCAAACTGGACCTGCAGAACCTCTAGCTATTGAAGATCTGAAGTCTCTTAACTGCAAAATGTCAAACACTGAGGAGTGGTTTCTGTCAGTATTTCATTTGATAATAGGTTTTACTGGCATCACAAGGAGTTTAAAGCTCAATGTATTAACTCTTTGGTCTACTAAGCTTTCCCATGACACATGAATATACATTTTAAAAAATTCACTTTCTTTAGTATTCCAGACTTAACAGGCAATCGATTCTGAGCACATATTGCTCATCATCCTGCCAGAGTTCATTGTACATTGAACAGAAAGCTGCTGAAGTGTCCCTGAGATGTATTTCAGGACCTGAGGGAAGTTTGTGATCATGGAAAAGGAAAAGTGAAAATCTGCCTCGTGAAAAAAATGTGGGCTCAGACGAGGATCATGGTCCTTCTATGATCATGCAATTTATGTGGAAATTGCTATTTAAGACAGCATCTATACCCACCTCCATTTTCAAGAATCCATTTGTAGAATTCCTGAGTTTTCTGCCAAGTTGAAGCCATCACAAGTTCTGGAAATAAATTAAAATTAGCATCTCCAGGATCAGATTAACCCCATTTTTTCCTAGCCTTCATTTAGTCTTGAAAAGGAAGGCTCCTTAGACAAAGGCTCAGGACTACAGCTAACGAAAAGAAAATAGTTTGCTCTCTGTAGAAACTGAAATTTTGAACCAGGATTAAAGTCTTGTTTAAGAAAGGAAGGGAGAGAATCCCCCTGTAGTGATTAACTATTTAACTGCTCTTTCCAGATTTTGATATTTTGTTCAGGTTTCACCTCTAAAAATACTCTGAGTAGCTGCAAGCAAAACGCCAGAACCAGGAGCTCTGTGTACCACGTTGGGGAATCAACCACGTGGTATTTTTTTCTAAAGCAGTGTAGGCACAACATTCATGCAAGGACGCACACCAGGGGGTATAACTGCATCCTTCTGCGGGCATTCTTGGAGATTCGCAATGCTAGCAGGCAGTTTGGGATAAATTCAGTATTGCTGAAACTCCAAGAGATGTTAAGTGAGCTCTTCTGGTTATTTGGCTTTCTGAGGCTCAGATTATACAGTTTGTTTTGCTTTATTTGTATGTATTCTGTAATATAGTATATTATATTCTATATATATATTCTATTCTATATATATTCTATACTATTTTCTATAATATAGTATATTAAATTAGAATACTCACATATAAAACGATGCTCCTCCTCTTCCCTTTTTCCCTTTAGCATGGAGACCTTTCCAATGGCATTAGGAAGTTCACCTAGAAAACACTTTTCTGCAGTTACTTTCAACAGCTTCTATTATTTGCCTTGGGTCTCTCCGTTAGCAAATACGTAGCTACATACACCAGCTTCCTCCCAGTTTCGCTCCTCTTCCCTTCTTCCCTTTAGCACGGAGACCTCTCCAATGGCATTTGGAAGTTCACCTAGAAAACACTTTTCTGCAGTTACTTTCAACAGCTTCTATTATTTGCCTTGATTCTCTCCATTAGCAAATACATAGCTACATACACCAGCTTCCTCCCAGTTTCATCTCCTCCCAGTACTGAGAAAAGCACATTTTCTCCCCTATTCTCTCCATTAGCAAATACATAGCTACATACACCAGCTTCCTCCCAGTTTCATCTCCTCCCAGTACTGAGAAAAGCACATTTTCTCCCCTGATTTCTAATAGACTGCTGAGTGCAAGAGTACCCACTCCTCCTTTGGACCTGCCCCCTGCTCTCCTGTGGCCACTGGGCTCCTGCAGCAACACTCCTGTGTTTGTGCCTTATACAACAAGGAAAACTGTAGCCTTATATTAAGGCCTCTTACACTGATATAAATGTGTCTTAAGGAGCCTTATGAATATAAACAGTTTCTTAATTCCCAGACCACGTAGTTCTGCTGGAACTACAAATGCACAGAGCGTGCCTGGCACTGTTTACCAACTGTGCTTTTGACTTGGCACATCTGGATAAAATCTGTTCAAATTTTCAAGGCTTTCCTGCGTTCTGGTTGTACACAGATTCACTCCTGTGGAATGTAACAAGCAACACTACACCTCCCTGTCTGTAAACCTCACAGCCTGGCATGTGAGGCATGCAGATACACCTTGCGTGTGATACGGACTGCAGATACACAGAATCACCGAGTCTTCATGGTTGGAAGGGACCTTTGAGATCATCGAGTCCAACCTCAAAAAAAAAAACCACAAAAAACCCAAAAAACCCCCAAACCAAACCAAAAGAAACCACGTAGTTCTGCTGGAACTACAAATGCACAGAGCGTGCCTGGCACTGTTTACCAACTGTGCTTTTGACTTGGCACATCTGGATAAAATCTGTTCAAATTTTCAAGGCTTTCCTGCGTTCTGGTTGTACACAGATTCACTCCTGTGGAATGTAACAAGCAACACTACACCTCCCTGTCTGTAGACCTCACAGCCTGGCATGTGAGGCATGTAGATACACCTCGCATGTGATATGGACTGCAGGTACACAGAATCACAGAGTCTTCATGGTTGGAAGGGACCTTTGAGATCAACGAGTCCAACCTCAAAAAAAAAAAAACCACAAAAAACCCAAAAAAACCCCAAACCAAACCAAAAAAACCCACAGAGACAACCCAACAATCTCAGGCACTGGAGCATGCCCTGAAGGGCCATGTCTACGTGTTTCTTAAAATCCCTCCAAGGATGGTGACTCCACCACCTCCCTGAGCAGGCTCTTCCAGGGCCTGACCACCCTCTCAGGAAAGTCATTCTTCCCAGTATCTCATCTAAACCTCCCCTGCCCCAACTTTACACCATTTCCTCTGCTCCTGGCATTATTCCCTTGGGAGAAGAGGCCAACCCCCACCTCTCTCCACCCTCCTTTCAGGGAGTTGGAGAGGGCAATGAGGTCTCCCCTCAGCCTCCTCTTCTCCAAACTAACCATGCCCAGTTCCCTCAGCAGCACCTCTCTGCAGCACAGTGTCAGTGACAGAAACATACTTGCACAAGTTCTTCCCTTGCAGTCAATCACTGCAGCCAAATCCCTCTCCGCCGTGTTTCTCCGCCGCGCAGCCCGAGACCCTCAGCACAAGCAGGTCTCATACCCATCCTGACACACAGATACACGCCCTTGTAATCCGGGCAGAATCTGCCAGCAGGGAGATTAGTCAGTGATTATCAGCTGGCTCAGAGTCAATCCAGCAGGGATTTTGTACAGTTACATGCCCTCAAAACAATCCAGCTCGCTCCGCTCCACTCCTTTCGCTTCCCCCGAAACCCGTCAGCCTGTAATGGACGGGAAAACCCAAGAAGCAGGAACAGACTTACCCCAGCTGGCTTCTGACTTCCCTTTCTCCAGGGGTGTCCTCAGCATCCAGCCACTGCTCTTCTCCCTCCGGGCTGCGTGTGGCAGGCGGCTAAAGAAGAAGCTGCAGGAGCGCCGGGCGTTAAGCAGACGCCGTGCTTAGCTTTCTCCTCCCCGAGCCAGGGGAGAACATCTCCTGCTGGGTCTCACGGAGACGTGGTGGATCTTCACGCCTCTTAAGCACAAATTGGGAATCTCCCAGCGGTACCCACCGTAAACCTCCCCCCCCCCGCCCCGGGCGAGCCGCAGGCAGCGTGGTGTTGTCTCCTAACTTTGCTGGAGCGGAGGTTACATCACATACTCCTCCCCCTTCCCTCTCTCGCCTCTTCCCCACATGAATTATCAGATTAGGGGACTGGGAAGAGGAGGAAAACGAATGCGGAAGAGGGCTGGGATTCCACAGGAGTGAACTGCTGACCTTTGGTGTCACGCTCGGGAGCCTGGCCAAGGGGGAACCAGGCCAGCATTTCTTCTGCAGGTTTCTTCAGGGCATGCTGGGACAGCTTTTCAAAGAGTAAAAGACGAGGAATCGTGCCTGGGCAAGACCCTGGAAAACAGTCTGCTTGGAGCGCTCCTTCAGCCCATCCCAAGGGGCTGCCAACCAGCCTTTTGTGTGCTCAAAATAAGTCCCAACCACAAAATGAGGGAGCGGAGAACGGTGAGAACACCCATCCACTCACAGTCAGGGAAGGCAGAGCACACTCAGCTGGAGTCACCCCTTCATATCCAGCCTCTCTCCCTGGGGGAGTCACATTTACCGGTTTTAAAGATACATGAAAAAAAAAAAAAACAGAGGAGTTTGACAACGATACCAAATTTCCCTTTCCATGATCTCCAGCAATCGTATCAAGGAAAAATGCAGAGAGCCTTAGTCAGCAGTGGCTCAAGTCAGTGATTGCAGTGCGTGTGACTCAGTCCCATGTCGAGGTACCGATGCAGAACCAGCACCCTGACCCCATCCCACCAAGAAAAAGCACAAGGCCATGTGATGGGCTTGTCACCTGAGGACTTCCTGAGGCTTGGTCACCTGAGGACTACCTGCGCCTGGTGTGTAGATATGCAGAATCACAGAATCTTCTCGGTTGGAAGGGACCTTAAAGATCATCTTGTCCAACCATCAACCTAACTTTGACAAAAACAGACACCCGCTCAACAAACAAAAAGCAACACCATCACTAAACCATACCTCCCAGCACTACATCAACCTGTCTTTTGAACACCTCCAGGGATGGTGCCTCAACCACCTCCCTGGGCAGCCCTGTGCTCCCAGTGGGCACATTTTATCAGCAGAACTCTGAAAAAAGAGGGTGTAGACTTTGCATTTTGGGGGTGGGGGTCTCAGAAGGGCAACCCAGTTTAGGAGAAGGTTTGACTGACCTTTGGTGTCATACTGGGGTTCTATTTTGCTGATCCAGGTTGTTAGGTATAGGTTCAGGGAGACAATGACAGGGAACACACCACTTTTTGCAGAGCTTCCTACAAAGGCCCTTTCTCTAAGTTTGCAATTGCTCATTAACAAGCAGGTTTAATTTTTGAAGTTTTGGTGCCCAAATCCTTAAAAAGATTTGGTGATTTACCTGTGTGAATCAATGGAGGTAATAAAACAGACCAGCCCTTTCTATCTGTCTATTATGTGTAGATGGGGGTGTATTATATTACTCCTATCTGGGAACTTTAAGTAATGTTTGTTGAGCTATTTATACTGATGTATAAGACTTGGAATTACAGACACAATTTTTTCCATCAAAAATTCCATTTCCATCAAAGTTTTCCATCCGTTTCCATCCATTCACTTCAGTCGAGGTGAATTTTCACAAACACCTTTCACACGGGGCAAATTATTTTATTGCTCATGTAAACTGAAATTATAAAAAAAATAAGAATAATATCATGAAGCACAATTCATCTTTTAAAACCTGCCCTGTTCCTAAAGTATTCCCAGTGGTACCGTTGCAGATGTTCACTAGCACGGCTGGCAGATGGAGAGATGACATCAATAACGTGGTACTTTTACACTCCAAGAACGGGTGCCCTTTGATGGATGTGAGCACAACTGTGAGGGCAGCTCTGTGGGGACCACACACAAAAGCCTTTGGGGCTTTCAGTTGCAGCAAAAAACTCAGTAGAAAAAAAAAACCATCGCTCCTTCGCTGAAATAGTATTAGGGAGCTCTGAATGCAAACGTGAATTGGGTTTTTCATTCAGTGACTTGTCAAGAAAAAAGGGTGTTTCAGGAACATGGATTACAGCCCTTGTAATAAGCAGCTCAGTTACGTACAATATGTGACCGCTCAGACAAGTCAATCAGAGATTTAAAAGACTGCATATTCTAATTATTTTAAATTCTGGATGTGTCCTGGATATAACATGGGTGTTTGCTACAAAATCATTACCAATAACAAATACCAACAGGAAAAAAATTCTGACAGCTTCTAGACAACGCAGGTTTTGGTTTTTGGTCCTCTGATTGCTGTTCCTTCCAAAGAAAACTGCACTAAAAGCACAAATTAACAAAACAGACCTGTTTCAATACTTGAAAAAAACAAGGAGCAGTGGGCCATCTCCATCTGGATATCCAGGCTACATCATGGTGATGCTCTCAACACCAGAGTGGAGGTTTATCAGATATGGTATGTGTGCTTTGTTTTTCCTACCCACGCTTCACACAAAGGAGATGTACTGTATTACACGTCTAAAGTCCAAAACCTACTGGGTTCTAACCTCATCTCTTTTAGCAACGCTGTTTGTAGCTGTGAGCAATTCAACTAGCTCTCTTAGATCAAAATTACTTACCCACCTAAAAAGTTTCTTTTAATATAGATAAAATTGCTTGAAAGATGAGAACTGCTTCTTGCTATTAATCAAGCTGTTTCATCAAATTTAAGACCTATTTTTCACTTTTCTGATCTTTAAGCCATTAGTATGTTATTTCAGTCCAGGCCAAGTCCTATAGGGCAGGAAAGTCTCAGATCTGATATCGTATTTACATTCATTTCCACCGTGTTACAAAGGTATAAGCCACACTCATACAACAGCAATAAGCAACAACAAATCTGCCTGAAATAAAAAAAAAAGAAAAAAGACTAAGTTTACCAGTCAAGCAGACTGACTTTCTATATCAGCTTCTAAACTGCAGGGATGGATGGGGTGATAGTAAAAGCAGACCACAGACAAGATCTCTTCTGTAGCAGAACATGGCTTCAAGTGGTATCACCAGCCTGCTGAAATCAGCAAACCACCAAATAATAGCAGCAGGAATTTTAAGTTGGGTCTAAGAATGCCTGACTGGTTAAGGCACTACCACCTTAACCGCCAGCACATATTTAAAGATCAGAGGTGGCCAGCTACCTTCTAAAATTTGCATAGACCTGGCCCTTGGAAAACGTGAATGGTGTCAAAATCACTTCATCTGCAATTTAACTGAACCAAACCTCTCAAGTGTTTTATGCGTGCAGATATTCATATGAGTGTTTTATAGATATGCAGATATTTTAAATTACTTGTAACTTATGTATGAAACTTATGCGTGAAACTTATGCCACCTGAGCAGGAATAAAGCCCAAAGGAAGATGCACGCCACAAGTTTGCAGCATACATCTCAGGTGGAACTTTTGTGACCAGCTTCATGTAGCATGAAAGGTCCTGGATCTGGAGAAGGGCTTCAATAAGATGTAAATGTCAAAGCTGCGGATGCCACAGCACAGGAGGGAAGGTGAAAAAACCCAAGTCTTTCATTCAGCTCATACCTACAGCTGCACCCCTGCTAAACAAGGTCTACGCTTATGGAATAACATACCTCCTAGGGTTTGTACCTAAATAATATGAAGTTCAAGGACAGGATCAGATGGTCAACACTACCAGCAGATGAAGGACTGCCTCGCTCCTTGGCAAGACTGTCCTCCAAAGAAAGTTCTGAACTCCTGAAATGGCATCTTCATGAGCGTATTTGTTGAGGGAGGTCCATGTAATCTCCCTTACTTAATGCTCTTTAACAATCACATCAGCTTTCAATTGCTAACAACAGAAATAAATAACAGCTGTTTTTATGAGTATTCTCTCAACAATGGGTAACATAATAATAGGTGTTTTCACAGCAATAGAATTTCCTACAGAATAGCAATCGAATGACTCAGTTTGTTTTGCTAATATGCAATTACCAGCTCATATACGTTTCTGGAGAAATAGTGATTTCAGGTGACTATCAACCATCATTAAAAAACTCTGAAAACCTGACCAAACTTTTCAGTATATTTGGGTCTAGTCCACAAAGGTCTTGTGCATGAAAAATTCAAATTTATATCTATTTAGAGCGAACAGAAGCCCTTAAGACGCACAGTGAAGCAGTTGAAGGAAGAAGCTCCTTCTGGCACAGGAATTTTGTTTCTTGCCTGCCTCACTTCTACACCAAGCCACCCAATTGCACAGCCCTTGGAAGGTTTAGCACAGATTACAGGAAGAAAGGTTTTGGCAGAGGTACTGAGCAGCCTGTCTCTATGCATAGGACTGGAAGATGACAGCAGCTCTTGCGTAAATGATGGTCTTAAAACCCAGAATTTTAATTCTACCAGCATAGATTTTTCCATTTGTTATTCTGCATGTGATATATGAAGCATGTATCAGTGGTCTCAGAAAAGTCATTCAGCTTCTCTGTGCCTCAGTTTCCAAATCTGGACAAACAGAAGGCAAACTTGCCTATCTCATAGGAGTGTGGTGAAGGTGACCTTCAGCTTGTGTAGAGCTGTATCAGCCATATTCCACCCATTTGAGTGCAAGTTCTGCTTCTGGCTCTGAGGCTATTATCTCTGTGACCTTGGACAACTGATTTCAGATGGCAATCATCTTAAAAGATGCCTAAATTTAGGTGTTTACATATAGGTATCTACATCTGATTTAGCTTCTGTTGTACTTAGGAGACCTCTAAGGACTGATTCAGCTGCCCACTCATAAGAACATATTGACATTCAGGGTGCCCTAAGTTATCTCACCTGATCTGCTGATGCTCCTGCAGGTTCTGTGCCATATCTGTGAGCTCCACATGGATATCAGAGCTATCTTAAGGCATCTCCAGTGGCACCAGATACCTATGTATCAGCACCTAAATTAAGTCCTCTTTGCTTCTATATCCACCTCTTTGCTTCTATATCCACCTTTCGTCAATCTTACCTACTTACTTGACCAGTTCTTCGAGGTAAGAATCTTCTTACATGCTTTTGTGACCAAACCTCAGTGTTCGTTGTTGGTGCCTGAAGGAGTCCTGTCTCCAAAACTTCCCAAACAATTTCTAGGCCTAGAGAACTCAGAAAACTTTGACTTTCATCTCAAAATCTACTGACCATTCATCATGTCTTGAGTCAGTATTGTTTCAGACTTGGACTGTGGCTGGTGATGTGACTCGCACTAACTTACTATGAGGTATCCCAAATCAATGCATACACATATGAGCACAAACATACAAACACATGCCACTTGAGGGGTTACACACACACACATGAGTTTTTAGCTGCTAGGCCCAAAGGTCCTGTCACAACAGACAACTCCAATTAGCCAATAGGTGCCCCTTTTGACACGTGTGACCAAACTTCAGTGTTCGTTGTTGGTGCCTGAAGGAGTCCTGTCTCCAAAACTTCCCAAACAATTTCTAGGCCTAGAGAACTCAGAAAACTTTGACTTTCA